ATTATGACTGGTTAGAGCTCTTATTAAACTTCTTAACTATAAACTTCCATGCAGAGGGAAGACTTTCTGCATCTCTTGCATTTAAACAGTCTTCTTTTATTTTACTCCTATAAATCTGCAACTTTTCCGCTGTCAACGCCAAAGATGGAGAAGATAAAGGTTTTATGATGGCTGCCTCATTCCATTTGACTACTGATCCTGTTGCTTGCACCATTTGGGATAAAATTGTTGCATTAGACCCCTTTCTGATATTATAACTATGCTCCTTGATTCTAAGTCCTAAACTCCTGGTGGTTACTCCAATATAGTCTTTTTTAATGCCCAATTGCATGTTCTCATAAGGAATTCTATAAACCCCTGTTTTTTTCTTCCGACTTTATATCATCCTTATCATTCCTAAGGATTTTGTATAAATTAGGGGCCCTTTTTATAAGCATCCTCGAACCTTTTCTGTGAGCAATCTCTTTCATAACTCTATTCATACTTTCATCATATGTAAATTTTACGATTCCAGTGGGAGCATTTTTAAAAGACCCTTTCTTGATGTTCGCTTCATACTTCCTAACCATTCCCAGAATTGTGCTTTTTTNCGAAAAGATTCACTGATTATTCAAAGCACGTTTATATTCTTCATTGTTCATACTTTTTCAGGCATTGACGTAACATCTTATTTTCACCTCGCAACTTTTCAAGTTCATCTCTTAATACGTGATTTTCTTTCTCCAAATAGGAAGCTCTCAAAACTATCTGATTTTCTTTTACTCGTCTTGCTTCACGAGATCGCTTAGCAGCAATGTTATTTTTATGTCGTCTCATCCAATATTTTTCATCTTTTAAATTATCTGGAACAAAACGCTTCTTTGACTTTTTAACCATCGGTTGAGGTTTTAATTCGTCTTCCGAAAATGAATGCAGCGTTGGATCAAAATTGTTATGACCTGGAATTGTAGCTAAAGCAAGATCATCTTGGGTAAACTTACATTCAACAGGAACTCCATTTTGATCTGTTTCTTGATTTTTGTTTACATTTTCACCAACTTGTTTTTCTATATAGTAAATATAAAATTTAACTTGAAATAAAAGTTGGACTGCATTTTTAATCAATTTAATGTAATTTTGAGAAAACAATAGTATCAATATATCATAAAAACAACTAAAAAAATCACAGTAATTTGATTAATTTAAACTGAGATTTAAATGTAATATAAATTATTTCATCTAATAATTTAAGTTACAAAATCTTTATTTTATATTAAAAATATCATTTAACTTTTATTTATATAGCTAATGGAAATATTTATACATAAGAAAATTTTTTAAGAAAAACACTATGAAAATCAAATTATTATTCAATTCATATAACTAACACCTTATTCTTGCTGAGAGAAATATAATTTATTTGAAACAAACATTTTCAGCCTGATTCACAGGCCATCCCCAGGTTTAGAACAAATTTGAATTAAAGGATTCCATCAATGGAATACAAAATTCAAAATTAAAAAATTAAATAAGCAACAGAATAAGATAAAAATAAAATTAAAATATTAAATAACCAACAGAGTAACATTAAAACAAAAAATATAAAAATTGTACATAAAATTATTAATAAATGCAATTACTAACACATCCAATAAAACTACTATTATGACTGGTTAGAGCTCTTATTAAACTTCTTAACTATAAACTTCCATGCAGAGGGAAGACTTTCTTCTGCATCTCTTGCNAAAATGTAAAAAATGTACATAAAATTATTAATAAATGCAATTACTAACACATCCAATAAAACTACTATTATGACTGGTTAGAGCTCTTATTAAACTTCTTAACTATAAACTTCCATGCAGAGGGAAGACTTTCTTCTGCATCTCTTGCATTTAAACATTCTTCTTTTATTTTACTCCTATAAATCTGCAACTTTTCCGCTGTCAACGCCAAAGATGGAGAAGATAAAGGTTTTATGATGGCTGCCTCATTCCATTTGACTACTGATCCTGTTGCTTGCGTCATTTGGGATAAAATTGTTGCATTAGACCCCTTTCTGATATTATAACTATGCTCCTTGATTCTAAGTCCTAAACTCCTGGTGGTTACTCCAATATAGTCTTTTTTAATGCCCAATTGCATGTTCTCATAAGGAATTCTATAAACCCCTGTTTTTTTCTTCCGACTTTATATCATCCTTATCATTCCTAAGGATTTTGTATAAATTAGGGGCCCTTTTTATAAGCATCCTCAAACCTTTTCTGTGAGCAATCTCTTTCATAACTCTATTCATACTTTCATCATATGTAAATTTTACGATTCCAGTGGGAGCATTTTTAAAAGACCCTTTCTTGATGTTCGCTTCATACTTCCTAACCATTCCCAGAATTGTGCTTTTTTGGTAACCTAGGGTCTTGGCCACGCTTATTATTCTATTTATTTCTTTCCTCCTGTCTTGTACTGTTTCACAATACAAAAATGCCCTTCTTATTAAAGCTCTGAAAGCTGCAATTTTATACTTATATGGATCCTTGGATTGGGAAGGAATATACAATGGGCTGTGGGATGGTTTAATAAAAAAGCTAGTGGACAGGTGGCCTTTTTTGAATTTAATACCGATGTCTAGAAAATGCAGATCCAAGGAACTCTTCTGCTCCAGTCTTAAAGTAAGGCCATCATTGTTATCATTGATCTTATCCAAAAAATCCTTAAAGGATTTTTTGGATAAGATCAGACCTGAAGAAAAGGATTGATGAGCACAAATACTCAGTAAATAGGAGCCTTGATAGCACGGTCTTTGCAGCGTTTGCAAAGCAACAAGGAATTGAAGTATACTGGGATCAGGCAGCGATTATTAAACCTACAAGATCAATACAAGCGGTGAAACATCTGGAAAAAGTTGAAATATACAAGGCACATACGACCGCGCAGTGCATCAACTACAGAGATGCCGAAAGTTTATCAACAGCCTGGAAGTCCTTTTATGATAACATAGATTAACTATTGCAACCGCATAGGCGGCGTTATTAATTGTTTTTATAATATTAATTGATATATAATGTTGTTATTTTTAATTACTTAGGTTTAATCTATATGTTTTATAAGTATGCGCATGCGCTTTAGCGTTAAGTTGTAAATAAGCAATGTGAAATTTTTTGTATTTTTTCGAATACTTTGTTCATTATATAGTTCGAATTTTGAACTGATGATGATCGATTAAAACGATCGAAAACGTTTTTCAACGCATTAAAAGTGTGCTGGAATAGAGAAAGGTGTTTGTTTATTTTTGCAAACTAAACAATTAATAGTGTGCTAATTTTTGCATTTGGAGTCTAAAATTTAAAAATTACTGGTAATTTTCTGGTAAAAAGTAATGTTATGAAAATTTACGGTTTTATCAATAATTAAAAAGTCTGTAAAGTTTCAGTCTTTAATCAGCCACTATAACATAGAGAAAAATACTATGATATTTAGCAGTCATTCACTCCAGGTCAGATGTCACTTGTGGGTCATGTTCTCAGAATAATACCAGTTTGTACATTGCTCATGCAAAACAAAATCCACATTTCATGAATTAGGCAGAAGCTCACTTACAAAAAATATGCCACAATCTTCATTGGCCATCAAAGGCAAACATAGCTCTGCCACTATTAGCTTTATTTTTCTCTACATATTTTACTGACATGAGTGACCCCATTGGGGAATGCCTGGTGGAGCTTGTGCTTCATTACATCATGCTAAATTTCCTGTCTGTTAAATAATAATTAAATGCAATTGCACTGAGGTATAGATAATTGGTTGTGGGCTATTTATTGGGTTGGATTTCATGCATCCCTAAATCCCCTTACATTGGATCAAATGCTCTCTTGGGTTCTGTGAGAGCTAATTGTATAGTTTAAATTATGTTTGTAGAGCATCTCAAGATTAGTGCAATGCATTTTTTGTACAGTTAAAATAATCAAAGGAGAAGTGGCCAAACACTTTCAAAAAATTAATGATGAAATTGTATGAAGTATCTTTGCATTGCCTTCAGTGCTCACGGCTATGCAGAGAAGTTTGCCTGGCTTTCCTTTGAGTGTTTAAATCTGACAGAAAATGTTTTCTACTAGTCTTGAGACACATATCACTTAGTAATTTAAACCATGCTGTTTTTCATAGAACTCAATAGGATGTTTGCTCCCTTGTTAAAGGAAAATTGGGATGCATGGTATCTAAACCAATGAACAGATTGGATTACCTATACTTCAGTGCTATTGCATTTAGCTACTTTGTAGCAAATGTGAGATGTTGCAATGTTTGTATCGATCTGTATACAATTTGACAAAGTTATTTACTTTTTCAATAATTTTAATGAATTCAACATTATCTGCTAGATGACTATAAATAAGGTAAGATGGTTTTGCCTATCTGGATTTGAATTCAATCCAAATCTCCATAATTTATCATAGTAGTGTATATCAGGAGCATCATTTTCCATCTGTTATCCATAGTGAATAACCTTATTGCAAAGGATGCCTGCCTGTAAGTGTAATACTGTATACTCTAGTGTTAATGTTCTGGTCTTTGTTTTGATAAATTAATCATTCATTGAAAAATTAAACTTAAATATATTAAAATTATATTTAATTACTGTGTTATTATTTATAAAATCTGAATATATTAAAAATAAATTTGAAATATTCATTTGTTGAAAGTTAAATTTTTTAGATGTTAAATTACTTTTTAAGTTTAATAATATAGTGTGTATATTTTTAAGAAAGTTGAATTATTGATACTTAAATACTGCTATAAATTGATATACCAAACTGTGTATCTGGGTGATTATTTACTACATTTTGATAAAAGGTATTATTTAGTTAATTATAATTTTTTGTAATGATCTCTAATTAGATTTTGTGAATTTATTTATAACTTATTTACTATTTATAAATACTAAATAGTATTTATAAACAGTACAAAATAAATACTATTCCTTTAATCAAAAATATTTATAAAACTAAGAATTAATAAATTTTTAGGGATGCTTTAGAAGATCCTTTAGAGGATGTTGGAATGGTCCAACAACAGTTAGATCAGGTAACTTATAATGATGCTATCTTTATAAAAAAAAATTATTAAAATTTATTAATTATACTATTTAATTATTACTATGCATAGTAATCTTGATATTGGATTAAATTTTAATATACTTTACTTAATCAGTTTGTATTTATTTGTTGTTTTATATTTTTAAATTTTCTGTATTATTTTAAATTCTGTATTATTAAAAATCCTATTAGATACAATATAGAATTCTGTAAATCTTCATTGCATTACGTATAATTTTTTACAAAATAGATGACATTTTATGCAACTTTTACCAAATTATATAAATCAGTGTTTTTCAACCTGTGGGTCGCAACCCCCCCCCAGGGGGTTGCAAAGCCTTACACGGAGGGTCGGGGGTAAAAGAAGAAGACAAGTGTATGTAGGTCCTACACTACAATAAATAAAACTACAATTTCAGTGAGAAGGCTTTGCGTTTTTATTTTAAAGTACAATTGGTTTTTTGATCAATATTTAGGTCTCAACAGAAAGAAAATTAAATACATAGTTTTTAAAATCACTGATATAGATTTAATATGGCCCTGGGGGGTCGCCAGAATTTTTTTAACTTGTAAAGGGGTCGCATATTTAAGAAGGTTGAAAAACACTGATATAAATCATGATTATGTAATACAATCTTTACATATGTACTATATCTAGTTTAATTTTTTTATGGTTTTTAAGAAATTAATTAGTGTTAGTATTACTGCATTTCACATTTTCTTAATATTTGGTTTTTCTTTTAAAAAAAAAAATAGTTATCAATGCTTTGCAAAGATCATTTATATAAAAGTGGCAATTGTAATTGTTTTTCACAAGAAAGATGGAATTATGCATATCAAACTTTAATATGTTGTTTTTAGACTGCAATTTGAAAAAATTGTAGACCTATAAATTTTCACTCTGTCCTTAATCTCAAGAACAGAGAACAGATAAAAGTTGAGACCAGATATGTAAAGATTAGGGGCAAGATACCCCGATTAACTACAGTGGTACCTCAGGATACAAACACCCCAGCATATGAAATTTTCAGAATACGACATGAAATTCGAACATATTTTTTGCTCCACGATACGAACAAAAACTCACCATACGACATTATATTAGTTTGCAGCGCCATTTTTTATTCACTTCTGTTCATTGGTCTCAGTCCATGTGTTTGCTTCATTGTGGAAGAGTCTCGCTCAATAAAGGAAATCTTGAGGTATTATCAGAAAGTGACTGATTTTATTGAAAAGAAACATCCCGAAAAGGTTCACACTGGTCGTATTGCTGCTCGGAGTAATGACATTTGCCTAAGTCATTTTAGAAACAGTTTAAAAAGTAGGAAAAGCCAAACCTCTTTGGATAGATATTTTACCAAGCGACATCTATCCAGTGAAAGCGCTGGTGGAAGTGAAGGAAAGAAAGCAAAAAGCAGTGAATAAAAAGTAAAAAATATATATATAAAACAACACTAATTTTTTAAAATCTTTTCTAAATTATTGTTACATTATGTAAGTTAAGTTTTAGTATCATTTCCCTTCTCCCGCCACCAGTTTACACCTCCACCGTCGTCTATCCTGAAAGGTAAAGTGCAAATAAAACTACATTTTTTTTTATCAATTATTATTCCATTATGTTTATTTATACATTTACAAAACGCATTTTTCTGTGTTTTCCTTACTATAGTTGTTATTTTTTTTATGTACTACCTAGCTTTAATTTGTGTGTGGTTTTCGTCTTGTAACGAATTATTTGGTTTTACATGTATGGGGAAAATGATTCACCTTACGACATTTTCATGATACGATCTCAGTTTCGGAACGGGTTAATTTCGTATCGTGAGGATTTTTTTTAAAATACTCTTTCCGCCCTGTGGACACTAAGAGGGCCTCTTTTTGCAGGCCCATTATGGGTTCGGCCAGGCCTACAATGGGGCTGCCGGGTGGTGAGAGACGGGGCCCCACATATCCGAATGGACCACCCCCGAAAAAATTCCTGGAGATTTTTTGACCCGTTCGGATTCGAACCCGGGTCCCCCAGAGCGGTAGGCTGCCACCTTGACCGCTCGGCCATCCGCTCGTATCCAGAGGTACCACTGTATTTCAATCAAATCTGAGTTGTGAAAGAAATCAATTCCCCATCCTAAACAGTAATTTTTTATTTTATCAGNATCTTGAGGTATTATCAGAAAGTGACTGATTTTATTGAAAAGAAACATCCCGAAAAGGTTCACACTGGTCGTATTGCTGCTCGGAGTAATGACATTTGCCTAAGTCATTTTAGAAACAGTTTAAAAAGTAGGAAAAGCCAAACCTCTTTGGATAGATATTTTACCAAGCGACATCTATCCAGTGAAAGCGCTGGTGGAAGTGAAGGAAAGAAAGCAAAAAGCAGTGAATAAAAATTTAAAAATATATATATTAAACAACAGAATTTTTTTTATGTTTTCTAAGTTATTTTTAAGTTATTGTTACATTATGTTATGTAAGTTAAGTTTTAGTATCATTTCCCTTCTCCCTCTCTTCGCCACCAGTTTACACCTCCACCGTCGTCTATCCTCAAAGGTAAAGTGCAAATAAAACTACATTTTTCTTATCACTTATTATTCTATTATGATTATTTATACATTTACAACTACAAAATGCATTTTTCAGTGTTTTTCTTACTATAGTTTTTTTTTTTTTTTTTCAATGTACTACTTAGCTTTAATTTGAGTGTGTTTTTCGTGTTGGAACAAATTATTTGGTTTTACATGTAATCGTATGGGGAAAAATGATTCACCTTATGACATTTTCATGACACAATCTCAGTTTAACGGATTAATTTTGTATCCTGAGGTATCACTGTATATACGAACTTCTGATGCAAATCAGAAATACATTATTTCAATTCAAAAATTTTTCCCCGAAAGGAGTTAGATACATGATTGCATCACTACTGCTAACAGGAAATGTATGATATACAGGGGCAAGACACTTCTAATTTGAGGTAAAGGTCATATATTTTAAATTAAATAAATTATATTATTTATTTCATTTAAAATATTATTAAAAATTGCAACCTAGCATTGTGATGTTGTTAATAAATAATTGCTTCATATATATATATATAATTATTTAACAGAAGTTTTTTTGACTAATATTGGAGCATTTGAATATTGTTAACTTCACACATTATCTAACGAAAAATGATATATTCGTGTTTCATATTTTACTGACCAAAAGAGCTTAGTCAAATCAAATCTTATGAATATATAGAATATAATGTAATGTTTCGGGTATCATCTCTTTTATCTGTTCCATAGTGAAATAGCATTGCCATTTTGTAAGAATATGTCAAAGATGAGAATTACAAAATACATCACTGTTTGAATTGCTAGCCTTAAATAGTTCAGGAGCCTATTGCATTACTTGACAATTTTCCCTTTTTTATTTCTCTCTCAAATAGTGCTCTAGAATTACAGTGGGTGATCGGTTAACGAACAGATCGGATAACAAACACTTTCGCAAAAGATTTTTATGTTCGGACAATGAACACCCCACAGAACAAATGCAAGAAGAAGCGACATAAAATAATGAATACCGATTTGGCTTCCCTTGTCTTCGGGCAACAATTCAAAACTTTTCGGAGTGTGGGAGACGTTGACATTGACGCTCAAGCCGGTATATACCAATCGGATAGTATTTCTCCGAACTTTGAAACTTTTCCTTGTAATTCCAGCCTTTTATTTTTCTGACAGAAACAATTCTTTTATGTATTCGCGAGACTGTTGGGTAGGCACTCGTTAAGTTTTGGGTTGGTTTTTATTTTTGAAAGGTGAGAGTATAATATCAAAGGTAGAGAGTGGGCAGAAGATGCCTAATGTTGCTGGGCAGTATGGCGTGAACAGGTCTACAGTAGGCTGCAGTTCAATCTTATTTAAGAAAAATACTGTATAATCAAGAAGACTCAAGCAGCTAAAGGAGTAACAAAAATCACATCTGAGAAATAAAGAACATCGAAGAGTTCATAATGGAACCTGAAAAGGATCTGACGACAGAAGAACACCAAGAAACTTGGCGAGATATGTTTTATTCTGAAAAAGAGGATTAATGCCGATATCTGTTATTAAAGATCCTTTGAAGAAGTGGGAGGATGTCAGAGCAACAGTCTTTGAATGGCATCTAAACCAGGTTGAGGCTTGGGGATTTCTACAGTTGCAATGCTATTAATTACTTACGAAAAATCCTGAAGAAAAGAGAAAAGCAATCGACATTAGACAGATTCTTTAACCTTTTCAAACAGAAAAAACGTGACTAATAAAAACGCAAGACTGTGTATGTATATATTTTTATTATTACATATAAATAAACATGGTAAGAAAGTATATAATTTTTATTTTTGNAAGCAATCAACATTAGACAGATTCTTTAACCCCACAAATGGAAAAAACATGACTAATAAAAATGCAAGACTGTGTATGTGTGTATTTTTATTATTACATATAAATAAACATAGTAAGAAAGTATATATTTTTTTATTTTTGGGGGTCTCCAGAACGAATTCATTAAATTCCCATTAAAACCTATGGTAAATCAATAATCGGTTAAGGAACAATTCGGATAGTGAACAAAGTCTTGGAATGGATTATGTTCATTAACCAATCACCCACTGTATTTTTTCTGATCTCAGAATATAAAGCAACATTTTTCTGACTGATATTTGAGTATGATTATTAGCTGATCTGAATCAGAGATGACCATATTCTTATTTATTAATTTGTTTTTCTGAATTAGCATATATTTATTCTAATAACATTAATTCCAAAATGAAGCACTAAGATGATGTCACTAATTATCAGATGACATTAATGCATCATTACAGCTGACTGAGAGTAAAGGAATGATTTTAACGTCTCTCATAAATTATAAATGTTTTTTTTTTTCTTTCTTTCTTTAACAAAATACAGAAACTAGAGGGAATGTCAGAACATTCTTTTCTTTTGAAGAATTCATTTCTTAGTGAAA